AAGATAACATCAAATAATAATTTCAAAAAGAACTTACTGTAAACAGTGACTGAGATTCTAAAATTTTCTATGGTCAAAATATTTATAGCCTTTGAAAAGATATTCTTTGCGAGAATGGTATGCTTTTAACTTCTTTACGCAGGATGATATAAAAAAAAATGTCTTGTTTGTAAATTTCGTCTGTTTTTCTTTAGTCAACAATCGACAATAAGAATACTTGTATCGGAATCAAAGATAATTTACTTGATTTATTGTGGTAGCATTCACTTAAATGATGATCTTTATTGTTCGAAAAAAAAATGTTGACTGATGTTCGAAATATGAGATTCGTGAAATACTAATCCATGCAGTATTCAGAAAAAAAAATCCAAGAATATCATCGATAATCTTGCCCATATAAAATCATGTCTGTTTTAAAATGGTCTTGAATATCACAAGTTATTAGTTCATAAATATGATGTTCTGGTTTTTCTTGAAATATCATGTGCGTATGAATCAACTTCAATCCTGTTTCAATTGAAAAAAAAACGATGAATACAATCTTTTATAATTTATGATCAGGAACGAAATAACTATGCACTTGATGTTAACTCCATTGATAGAATATAACACTTTCTAGATTACATTGATGATATCATTCAAGTTCTCCAACTAGTAGAAGAAATATTTTAATAAAGAAAAGTTTTTATTTCTCTTCTTGATTGAGATAATGTGTTGACTATAGTTGATCACGAACAAAATCATTTATGGATGAATAATGCATTGATAGGTGATGTTTTAATGATACTTGTTTCTTCACTGACAAAATTTTTGATGATTTAGTATTTATAATACTAATCATAAAACCAAACGACAAACAATAATAAGTTTTTTAATGGTTCATAACAATGAAAACGAAATTTAGTCCTTAAATTTTCCGATGAAATAAATAGCTTTTTACGAATAGCGTCAACTTCCTCTCGTTGTTCCAACGCAATACGAGCAATTTCACTTGTTTGGAGTAAACATCCTCCCAGAATAGAAGAGCATGGTCTTCTATTCTGGTTTCGCATATCGCAATTTTTTTAGCGAGAAACTGTCCTATCTGTATAGGGCGTTTTCCAAAACTTTTCGCTCAAAAGTGGCCTTCTATTTCGGGTGACCCTCTAATATAGGGTAGCCTTCTATTCTGAGGGGGATTTAATTGTTTGTGGTTCTATTGAATAATAAATTGTTATATAATTAGTTGAAATTAATTTAGCTTTTAGAAAAAAAACAAATACGATTTACAATATGTAATCAATTTGAAAGAACCCCTTTTTGACGATTTTGAACTCGACTTGTAATTTCATGAATAAGACCTTCATCTTTTAATGATGCATCAGCTATGTAGTCAAGTGGAACAACAAACTATTCATTAAAACACAAGAAAGAAATCTAAGAAAAAAAAGAGAAGACAAAAATAATAAGTTCATATTCCTTGTTCAGCAGTAGCCTCAAATCGTGTTTGTTTCGCTACACGATAAACAATATGAACATCTTCTAGCTCACTTGTTACTTCATCAATTATAGTTAATGAAGTTTTATTTTGACCTTTTGATAGGAATTTTTCAATATCTGTATCAGACATGTCGCGAATTTGTTAAGTTATTGCTTTAACTTTAACTATTTATGTGTTCATTTGTTAAATAAATATTGAAAACAAACAAAATAAATATTCTTACCACCAGCTTTTTTTGCCTGATGCTGGATAATTTGGTTCAGCACTCATCTCAACATCATAAAGTTAACGATCTTGAGAAAATGTTATTTTACCTACATTTAAATCCTTTATAGTGAAAAAATATAAATATAAAAGAAGAAAATTAAATAATACATACTTCTTGAACAAAATCTTCTAATGATTCAATATCTTTCAATACAGATGGATCTTTACATATAACAACAAATTCTGATAATAGATACTAAACAGATAATTCAAACTATTTGTACAGCAGCTACAGTATGTTCCATCTCGTTATTTACGAATGAATGATTAAATAAAAATTTTTTATATTTCCTTGAAAATTAAAAAGAATAACAAACAGTGATTTTTGAATTAACTGAAAGTGAATACTTAATTCCTGTTCAGAAGAAGAGGCTGGTTGTGGATGGGTGTGTGCGTGTGAATTGTTGAAAAGAAGAATAACAACACCGCACATGTACATCCAAACCTCAGAATGTTATTTGCACAGAACTACCCATTCTGAATCAGTATCAAAGATCAGAACTATCAAAAATTCTTTTTCAAGCTTCATCGAATCAAGCATCATTCGATTTGGAATTTGATGATGATTCTAAATTTCGGATTGACATTCAAAAAAAAACTGAATTTTGACAGAGAAAAATTCATATTAGAATACGATGCTGAGAGCGGCCTATTTTCATATACTGTCCTTAGACGACCGACTTATACCATTAGAGATTCTAAAACACATACATTGATGTAGGTAAAATACCTATTGCGGCTTATTCCCTATCATAAATTCGTACTTAATGTGATTTCATATAAGTGGTTCCATTATGGCAGCATGTTTCATGTTTTTTTTTTCTCATTTTCGAGATCATATTCAAAAAGAGTATGAGAAAATACATTGATCTATATATGTTATATATTTGGTTGAAGATTTGGTTAGTGTCATAAATAGCATTCATGAAGCCTAAAACTGGTTTTTTTCTTGGACTTTTGAGTATTTGACTCCACAACTATCGAGAACTTAGTTTGAATAGACTTTTGTAATATTTTTCCGATTGAAAAAGTTGTGGCGCACGTCATTGTGTGTGTCTTAGACTCTCTAATGGTATAACTAGGTCGCCTAAGGACAGTATATGAAAATAAGCTTCTGCCAGCATCATATTCTAACATGAGTTTTTCTCTGTCAAAATTCAGTTTTTTTTGAATATACATCCGAAATTTGGAACCATCATCAAATTCCACAACTAATAATGTTTGATTCGATGAAACTTGAAAAAAAAATTTCTGATGACCCTGAGGTCCTTCACAAGTGTCACAGGACCGATAAAAATAGTGCCTCATTTTACTCAGAATTTAATGCTGATTCAGAAGGTGTACTTCTTTTCAAAAAACATTGTAGGCCAAAAAAAAGAACTCTCCTATCGCCACTTGTCGTTTAAGGTCTTTCTATACGACAAAAAAGTTAATAAAAGAAAAAATGTATATATACTGCATAAACATCACCTTTTAGTAGTCTTTCAAATTTTAATCATGTTTTCTCTTATTGAAGATAGACAAATATTAAAGAAAAACATTACTATTACATATAAAACTAACTAGAAACACAATATTGATACTTTTAAAGAGCTTTTACTTCAATATTCAGTTGCCAACGATCATATACAAATAAGATATTTATTTCATTGTATTTAAAAAAAAGATTAGAACTTGAATTTTTATATGTCCTTCTTCATCTTGTTTATTTACTTCAAATAATAGTTTTCTTCATATAACAATAATAACATAATAAGCAAAAACAAGTCTTCGTCTTAGTTCTCATGCAATAACAACAGTAGGATAAAATATTTTCACTATTCGACTACAGAAACTATGTTCACTGTACAATAAAACAATAACAAACAAACAAAAGCAAATAATAAAACGAATAAATATATACAAACGAAATGTAATACAATATGTTTTATTATTGATATTGATGTCCTTGTGCATAATTAATTCGATTTATTGAATTTGATTTACAACAATGACATCCACCAAATAAAGATCGATCAAGTGATTGAATAAGAAAATAGGATTTCAATAAAGATTTTTGTTTTACATGTGCTTGATATACCTTCAAATATCAAAATAAAAAGTGAACATTAGAATCATTCAATGACACTTACTTGCATACTACGACCATTGATTATTTGTCCATCCATTGATTGAATAGCTCGTAAAGCATCACTTTGTCTATAACAATTCGATTAATTAGTATTGATTAATACAAATAAATACATACTTTTCAAATGTTACAAATCCATAACCTCTTGATTGACCATTTTTTAATGGTATTTCAACATCATAGACTTGACCAAATGTCTATTGATTATTTGAAAAAAATAAAAATAGATAAAAGAAAAGAAACATCATAAATAAATTATACTGAAAAAATTTTTTCAAGTTCAATTGTTGACCAATAATATGGAATATTTGAAATCCAAAGACGCATTGGTGTTGTATGTATTTTCTAGAATTTGTGCTTCATATAATATTTCATACGAAGACATGTAACTTACTTGTATAGGTGAACAAATATTTGGACAAGTTTTGGTTGATTGCTGAAAACGAAACATTGTTGTTTGTAATATAAATGATGAGAACATACTGAACAGAACACATCGCTTTTATATATATGCATATATCATAGACCGTTACACTTCAATTAAGAACTAACGATAAAGCAAAGTAACCGTTACGCATTCAAATACAAAAGAAACCGTTAGAGATGCATCGTTATTCTCAAATATTAAAAAAAAACAAGTTAGCAATGTTGCTAACTCTTGGCTATCGTAACCGTTGGCGATAATTTGAATGAATTGTTTGAACAAAACAAAAGAAATCGAAATTTAAAAAAAAAAGAAAGAACAAAACATTTGCTACATGAGATAGCAAACGTTGAATATAATGTTTTTGTAACAACAAAAAAATAGTTCGAATAATGAAAACATCAGAAAAGAATTCTTACAAATTAATATATAGCTATATCAATATTCAATATCTAAAAATTGATTTAAGATCAAAAGTCTATTTTGCAAACAAGAAAGGTACGATAAAAATGATATTTAATTCAAGTCTACATCTTTACCATCTGATCTTGAAATTCATCTGTCTCTCCTTGTCGCTAACGAATAAATTTTCATCAACAAGATTTTATTTCAAAATAAATATTTTACGCTCGCTTTTCATCAAAGAAAAATGAAATCAAATTTCTGATCATTTCAAGAATTAATCAAGGAGAATCATCATGGCTGCTTCTAATACTTATACAACACGACAAGCTGTAAGATTACCAAAAGATCTTGTTGTACTCAAAAAGTTTCTATTTTAGGCTTCGATTGGTCTTCAACCAGGTAATTTAATTGGCGAAACACATTATGTTACTGAAAGCCAAATAACACCACCAATAAAACAACGTATTCGAAGTACAAAACTTCTAAGTGTAAGGAAAAAAATTCATTGAAAAACTTTCTCGAATTGTTTTTCGCTAGACAAATATAAGTCGATGTCAATGCTGTTGTCCACCAGTTGCATCATCGTTATGTCGTTCATGTTTATGCCCTTGTTGGGCTTATTTACTTATTGGTATTCTTTTTGCATTACTTATTGCAGCATTGGCTGTTGAACTTGGTTTTCTCTCTCGTATGTTTTCTTAAATTAATCAATCATTCTTTTTACCTGTCAAATTTATTTATTGAAGGAGAAAAGGTTCGCTATCAACAAGTAGTTTGCAGAGAGGTATTGAATATAACTTATACCTATAACAACATTACTGACACATATGATGTCTCATCTTCAACAAGCCCACCATGCCTAACTGGTCCAATAAATGGATCTGGAACATTAGTTTGGTCATCTTTTCTACATATTATTTTTGTAATGATCAATTTCTTCATTTATTTGATGAAATTTTGAGTTTATTTATCTAACTGAATATATGAACATTTATTAAACTTATTATAATTTTCTTTTTTTTTTGACGAAATAAAAAAACTTTTTCAAAACAAAATTATATTCAAAAGAGGGCGTTAGCCTTAAGACAACTTATTGAAGAAATTCATATAATCTATCAGCAAGTCAAGATTTCGTTTTAGAAATCTTTAAAATCAATAATATAATTATTTTTATCATTAGATAAAACTTTGAAGTTATATTCGTTGCTAAGCAACAGAAAACAAAATTTTTCTATGTATGACATCTTGTAGTTGTTAATAATATTTATCAAGATTTCTATAACCTTTATTTCAACATGCTTCAACCACGTTCTCTTCATCGACCTTATAGTAATCAAACATTAATTTATAATTGGCAAGAAGAACGAGCTGATATAAAAAATGAGCGAATTCAAAAACCACTTCCTTCTCAAGTTAACTCTCTTAATCTAATATATTCTCATCATTTTAAATATGAATTTTTTTGTAGTATGATCATTATTTTCCTACAACATATGAATGTGCTTATGGTACTATTCGAGGTGATCCACCTCGACCTGAAGTTCGTAATCTTGAACGTATGTCTTTGCATTTAAAATCAATCAGTTTTCTAACTAAAATTTTATTATAGTTCCACGTAACTATGCATTTCCTGGTCATCAACCAGAATTTGATTTTCCTGAAATGAAAGCATCCGTTAATACATATGTAACTGAATATCGTGCTGGTTATTGTCGTAATTGTCAACGTCCATTGGCACCTGACGATCCAGCATGGTCAACAACAACAAAAGTTTGTTTACATTGTAAAGATCGTACATATAGTATTGATCCAAAACCTGAACCATATACACTCACCGTTGACTATCGTCAAGATCCAGCAGCTAAAAATCGTTGTCTTGCTTGTATGGAAATTAATACGGGTGTTAAAATGATTTGAATAATAAAAAAATTTATTTTTCTCTTTCCTAATAAGTCCTTAATATATATTATTTTAAACACTTTTTTTTTTATAGATTAGAAAGAGGAAAAAATGGACGTGACAGAACAAGATCTTCTCGCAACACAAAAAGCCCTCGAAGAAGAGGTGCAAAATAAAGTCAAAGAAGCTGTTATGGATAATTTTCTTCGAGTAAGTTTTCCAAGAAAATCAAATAAAAGTTTGTTTTTTTTTTTTTATAATTGATTATATTTTTTAAAGGAAAAATTAACACGTGAAGAAAAATTTACACAAAATAATACATATAAATTAAATACACAATGGCTTACTGTTATGCGAGCAGCTAAATCAAAAGAATTAAAAAAAGAAATTGAAATTTTATCACAAACATTTGGACGTATTATTGATCGAAAAGATACTGTTATTAAAGCATCATCAAAAGATCTTGAAGAAGCTGAAGAACAATATAATATGGCATTAAGAAGTTTTTTTGAAGCTATTGAAAAAATGATTGGTAAGAAAAATTTGATGTAGTGTAACGTTTTTTTTTTTTTTTTTTAATATCTTATTTAGCAATGCATACATCAACAATTGATAAATTACTTGATCAATATGAACAAGATGTTGAACAAATAAAATATGAATTTCGTGAAGAACGTGCAAAAATAATTCGTGATCATGATATATCTAAAACTGAATTACAAGATATTATTTATAATATGGAAAAAACATATCTTGATGCTGAAACAGCAGCTGAACAAAATTTTCAAGCAAATATGGAAGAATTACGTAATAAAGTTTGTATATTTGAATTAAAATGTTTTCTTATGAAGATAATTGATTATTCTTTTTTTTTGTCTTTTTCGTCTTTCTTTAGTATCGAGAAGATATGCAACAATATCAATTAAATGTTGAAAGTCGTTCAACAGTATTACAAAATGAAATGACACTCATAACAAATAATTATAAAGAACGAACAAGAGAAAGTAAAGCACAATATCAAGAATATAAAATGAAAGATGAAAAAAATTCTAAAGAAATTCGAGATGCAACCATTTATATTAATCGAATTACTGTATGTCTTTAAAAAAAATATTGTTTAATAAATAAATAATAAAATATTTTAGGACAAAATCAATGGTGTTAAATCTCAAATAGCAGCTCTTGAAGCGAATCATCAAGCAAGAATGAATAAAGTTGGACAGGTAAATTTAATCAAATTTATATGTTTTTTTTTTTTTGCCGAAAAGATTATTAAAATTTTCCTATTCGAAAGAATAGATTGATCTTTGAAGGTACGAGAATTAGACATTACAAAGGAGTATATTGTAGGTGGCAGAATGATTTGAATCAAAGAAATCTTCAAAACTTTTTTCGAATGATGACCAGAGAATAACATAAAACAGAGCAAACAATTTTCAATTTGTCTAATCTTGATGCTTATTAAAGAACTAGATTTGTGCTGATTCATTTCTATGTTTTGACATTGATGAGAAGGTTCCGCTTGAAAATTTCTCTTGTTATAGATATATAATGAACATAAACATCAGTATTGTATTCAGATTTTCTCTTTCGAAAGAGCAATTTAAATCTCTGAAAGGGCGTCAGTTCCTCAATCTCTATACTAAACATAAAAATAAGTTTTTGCCGAACTTCAAACAAATAGAATAAAGTACTTATCAACTGCATTAGACCTAACGAATATGTCGGTTATTTCTCTTTTTCAACAATTTATTGATAGTAGCAGATGAAAGCTTTCCAAAAACTATTGAGAAAATTCATGTCTATCTAAAATTTCAATAGATGAGAGGCAAGTCATTTTCACGATTGACATTATGTCTAAAAAAAAGCTTTGAATTATCTCCTGAGAAATATCTAATCAATTTTTCATCCTAAAAATGAAGATAATCTTCGTTCAAAAATGTTTCACTAACTAACTATATAGGAGAATGAAGTTTGTAAAATTTTCTGAAATATTCGAGTCTTCGTCTTCGTTTTTGGGAGCAAGGTTCAATCCTCTTCACGCCTCCAAACTCCATCATCTATGAACTACACGAAAAAATTGTTGTACTTCACGTATCTAAAAACTAACAAAAAATTGGTATTGTTTAAGTACCGACCAACTTTCTCATTAAAAAACCATACGTTGAAAGAAGTGTCACAATATAAAGCAATAAGTATGAATCGAGTTTTTTACTCGTGTCTTATGTTTAGTAAAATAATTCAATTCTCTTCAATATTTCTCTTTAAAAAATTGAAACAGAATTATAATATTTGTTCGTTGTTTTTTTTTTTTTTGTTGTTGTTATTAGGAAAAAGAAAGTATGAAACAATATTTACTTCAATTAAAATCTCAATTATTGGATATGCAAGAAGAATTACGTCGACGTTTAATAAAACTTGCGACAGCATGTGATACAGTTGAAAAACAACTTGAAAAACGTGTTAAAATAGCTGAAATTATTTTAACATTTGCTGAAATGTGTCGTAAATTAGAAGCTGAAGAAGAAAAAATTTTACCATTTTATGCATCAACATTAACAGATGAAGAACGTGCTGAAGTTGAAACAGCTTTTTATGAACCACCATTTGAAGATTTAGCTAAAGTATTATTTTATAGTATTCATTTTCATTTCATAGACTTATTTCTTCGATTGGTTTTTTTTTTTTTTTTATTATCTTAGGATATGTATACATTTGATTCACTTGAAATGTTTTGGAAACGATTTAGTAAAGTATCATTGGATAAATTAACTTTAGAAAAAGAACGAAGTATTTTACAATCAGAAAATATGCAATTAAAAATGTTATTAAAACAATATCTTGATGGTATATCAGTAAATGATGAAATAATGAGTCAAACAAATCCATTAATGATTTTATCATCAAGACGTGTACTTGAGTACGTATGATCATATGGATTATATTCATAAAAATATAAATATATTTCTTTTGATTTAAATAGAAGTCAGTCTGCTGGAAAACCGTTATCAAATGCTCGACCAATTAAAGTTGTTATCGAAGCTCAACATGTGAAAAGTGCCTTTTGATATATTTGTATACGTCTTTTTCTTTTCATATATACATTTTGTGTTCTACGTCTTTTTCGAAATTTCTTCTTATTTTCTAATATAAAGATCATCCAATTGATAATTTTTTTATTTTATTTTTTTTATATTAATACGATGATCTTCAATGCATATATTGAATGAATATATCTAATGATTGTTTCATACTAACAAATAACTTTTGAAACATGCCCACTAGAGAAATAATCAAATTGGTAAACCATAATCATTTTGATTGTTTTTAATTAATGTAATATTTCGTTTGAGAATCAATACTCGTCGTTTAGATATAATTATCTCTTTCTCTTAATAATCGTGGCAAAATGACACACATATCTCAATACGATTACACATACCTGACTCGTCTCTTCAACACAATGGACGTATTCTTTTTCTATCACTAAGATATATCGTTATTTTTATAAATCTGCTGTCTAAACAGTAAAGAAAAATCATTATGTTGAATGATTAACGATAGTCATTGTGATATTCTCTTTGAGTTCATAATTATAGTTCACTATACAGAGGTTATTTATGAAAGATGGACTGCGAAAAAGTTTCCACTAACAGAAGGGGTGTCCACTATGGAAGATTTTACTGTACACATGAAAATGAAGTAGAATAACAACGAAAAACTAATTCCTAACATTCTTTTCATATGTAAACCGATCGAATATGATGAAATATGAAGTATATATAAATTTCGTATACTTCGTTTCACAAAAGTGCTACTCGATTAATTAGAATTCTAACATGTAGACGCCTTTGTACCATAGTCACTGTGTAGAACTATCCTACAGGCAAAAATGAATTCTCGTTCTTAGTCGCTCAAAAAATACTTGTAGTTCAACTGATTCTTCTTTGTCTTTAAACTAGAATAAAATATATCGAATTGATGTTTCGTTTGTTCTTCAAAAGAACAAAACAAACTTTCATGACTTTTCCTCAATAGATAAATTGATAAATCGAATAGTTCTAAACTAAAACAAGCAAACTAATGATTTATGCTGTTGATTATTTTTTTTTTTGTTTCAAAACTATTATATATTCGTATACAGAAAAGAAAAGCATGCGTATGCAAGAGTAAAAAAAAACAAAACAAAAAGATGGAAGAACGTAAAAAAGACAAAATTCACACGATAGAATGTTATAATGATAAAACTCTGATAACTAGCAAAATGTTTGTTCAAGAATAAAATTTGACACAAAACAAAGCCAAATGTTCACTGTTGATTGAAATAAATAAAGACAATAAATAATTATTGATAAACACGCTAGAAAAAAAAAAAAAAAAATATTTTTTTTTTTAATTTTTTTTTCGTTACTTGAAGATTGCTATTCGATGTTCTTATTGGTGAATGATTTATTGATGAAAAACTTTCATGTAATTCATTTCTAGCTAATAATTTTTCTAAACGTTCAAGATAAATTTTAACAATTCGTTTTATTGAATTTAAACGATCAAACATTAATTTTATATCATTTGTTATACGTAATTGATCACCAGATAAAAGAGATTTTAAACGATCATTTATATTAATTAAACGTTCATGAAGAATTTCAAGATCATCATGAATACGAATAAAACGATGAAGTTTTGTACGATTAATACTTATATTTATTTCTCTTTCATCAACAGGTTCTAAAGATTGACTTAATGATTCAAGATGATCTAATTGAGAATTGATATCTAACATTGCATGTTTTATATCTTCAGCTTGAATAAGATTTGTCTGTATCGAAAGACAAAATAGACATTAGAAAAAAAAAACCATATTCAAAATATTTACTTTTATTTCATGATGTTCACGATTTTTTCTAGCAAATAAAAATTCAAAACTTTCTTTAATTGATTGAAGACGATGATCAATCAATAACCATTCACTTGTATCATCACTAAATTGATCAGCTAGATCCATTGTTGACTTTAAAAGTGTTTGATATTCATCTAAAAATATTTATTTAAATAATATGTAATAAAAAGATTTATTTTCATTATATGAAACCTAATTGTTTAACTTGATCACGATGTACATCTGCTTTTGAATAAACAGTTCGAGATACTAAAAACAATAAAAAAAAACTTTTAGCTGAATCCCTACAAAATTAAAATATGTAAAACGATGTAGTTGTTATCACTAATCAAAGCAAAATTATTTTATTCTATCTATATTGGGATACGTTGCTTCATTATCCTTTTACTTAATCCTTCAGAAATACATTGAGGAAGTAGTTCATATATTATTACGAAATGTTACTGGGAATAAGTACAGTAAAACTTCCCTATAGTGGACACCTATGAGACTTTTTGAAAGTGTCCACTATAGGAATGTTTGGTCTTTTCAAAAAGCGAAGTTTTTCGAAGAAGCGGGCGCATTTTCTAAGGATTGGAAGGGTGTTAGTGAATAAGATAACTAGCCAGTGCTCATTGTTACTTCTCTCCTCATGCATTTTTGTTCTTGAAATACAAAAATATCAACAATTGTTAGAATACAGAAAGGCTCTTTAGTTGACACTGAATGAGACTTCTCAAAAATGTCCAGTATAGGATGGTGTCCACTATAGAGAGGTTCAGTTCCAGCAAAAATCTCTCCGTCGGACCGCGAAGTATCCGCTATGGGAGATTTTACTGTATCATAAAAGATTACCACACAAACAAACATCGTTGAAAAACGAAAACCTTCAAGAGAACAAGATAATAATAATAATTGCTATATTACGAGATAATCTGGATAGTAATCCTTTCGAAAATGATAATTACACAGAAAATAATAGTCATAATAATTTAATAAATAATTCATGAACTTGTTTTATTTTTATTGTTTTTTTTTAATTAATAAGCGATAGAAAAGTCTTCGGAAGAAGATCTTGTTGTCTAAGACATTACTTGTTTGAAAGAGTAAAATATGAGGAAATCGGACAGGAATAAATCGTTCTTGTAGGATGCTTCATTGATCTTATCGATTCGATTTAAATTTGAGAAATCTAAACCGATTCAATTTTAAGTAGAACATGTATTGCTAAAGTATTTGGTACAGTCTATCATGTCTCTTATGGTATATATGGCGAGAATTGCATATATTCATGTTGTATATATATTGCAACACCCTTTTTACATCGTATTTCACAGAATATAAAAGAAAATTATTTCTTAACTTACATAAATTGTCTATTTTTGAAAATTGTTCAGCTGCTTGTTCAAGTTCTTCTAATTGTCGTTTAAAATGTTTCCATTGTATACGATTTTCTTTTAATTGTTCATCTTTATCATGAGCTAATGTTTGTAAACGATTCCATTTATCCATAATATCTATTTAAAAAAAAATTCATTAAATTAATATCAATTAATTTAAATATCATTCTTACCAACAACAACTGGATCATTATTAAGATCATCGACTAATAAAGGACCTAATTCTTGTTCAATTTGTTTAATTATTTCACGTAATGCTTCAATCTTTCGACGTGTTGTTGTTAATATTCGAGTCTAAAAAAAAATTATTTAGAATTTTAATTTTCTTTTATTTAGATAAAACAAAAACAAAAACAAAAAAAAAAATTTCTTTTGTTTACATAAGTAAATTCAATAGGTAAATCTTCAATATGAACACCCATTGGTGTTTCAGAACGAAAAGTTTCTTCTTTGGCAAGAAAATCACCATTAATTTGAACGAGAATATCTTCAAAATCAGATAAAAGTTCTTGAGCATGTTGATATTGATCACCCCATTCTATTTGATCATATGAATGAAAAAATCGATCTCGTGAACGAAGATAACGTTGAGGTGAACGAGATCCTATTTAATAAATTAAATTATTAAATTAATAAACAAAAATTTATATGTACTTGATGAAGTTGGTGAAGATAAACGTTTATGTGTTAATGATGTCGAGAAAAATGATTCATGAAGTGGTGATGAACGAGTAGAAGTAATTAAATCCAAATGACGCTAAAAATTTATAAAATATTTTGATTCTTTTATTTTATTTTTTTTTGTTTTCATCTCTTACATCGCTTGAATTCATTAATTTTTGTTTAAGTTTTTTAATACGTTTTGTTAAATCTCTTAATTGTTGACAAAATTTTGTTAATTCATTCATATTAATTGTTAAACCTCTTGCATCAACTGTTTTATTAAGTAAATAATTAGCACATGTTCGAACATATTCAATTTTAGTTTGTTTTTCTTGAATTTCTCGATCCATATCCTTAAAAACAAAAAAATAATATTTTGTTAAAAATATATTAATTAAAAAAAAAATGTTACATCTAATTGTCGAATTTTTTCATTTGATGATGCTTCAGATAAATGTTCAAGATTAGTTAAAAGTACATCTAAATCAGTTAACCATAATGCTAATGAATCTTGTGTTAATTGAAAATCACCATGTACACTTAACATATATTTAAGCTAAAACAATAAATTAATTTCAATTAAAAAGAAACAACTGAATTTTTTTTTTCTTTTTATTAAATACATTTTTCATTGTTTCATGTACTGTTCCAATTAACATTTCCCAACGAGTATTAACTTCTTTAATTTTTGAACGAATTTCTCCTGAAGAATCTGCTGTTGAATGATTTCGAATAATTTCTGAATAATTATCTGTTATTTGTTGAATATCTTTTTCATCATCATCTAATGTTCGTTTGAAATTCTTCAAAAAAAATTTAAATAAAAAAAAATAAGAATTTATGATAAAAAAAATTTTTAAAATCAAACCTCAAGACTTTTGTATTCACTTCTAACTCCTTGTAAACCTTGTCCACATGTTCGTTTAACTTCATTAAGAAATCGTTCATGATCAGTTATCATTTTTAATGCACGTTTTATAGCATCATCAACACTTCTCCATGATACATGTACTGTATCCAATCTATCATTAATTAAATATTTTATTTTATCAAAATACAAAAAAAAAAAATCTTTACTCAAGTTTTCTTTTTCGTATTAAATCTTTCAATGATAACCAACGTTGTT